TGTTGACAAGCATTTCATTAAGGAGAAAATCGATTATGAACTTGTTCATATGAAACACTTTCCTAGTGGAGAGCAAGTAGCTAACATTTACACTAAGGGACTACACAGAAGACAGTTTGATGTCCTAGATGGCAAATTGCGTATGAAAGAGACTTTGGAGTATTCAGAAATCAGGAAACTTGTTCATATGTTTGCATTATAAAATCACAATATCAATAATAGAATATTCATTATGTGCAAACCTACTTTTCAAGTAAGGTTTCATGAGCATATTTGCTAATGCATGGCCTGTTCATATTATAGGTTCGTTAGAAGGATAGGTTTTCATACCTACAACATGATTTCATAGAAGATAACAATGAAACTCTATATGCTTGGTACTCTTGTGGAAGCCTTTGTTCTCACATTATGGATTGCAGATTAATTATTGTGACATGGTGGTGGTAATTTGTTTCATAGAAGCAAGATAAGGGTAGCAAACTATGCATGGGGATAAAGACGAGAGGAAGGGAGGCAGAGAGGTGAAGAGTAGGGGATAGGATTAGTGATTTGGTAGTTTGGTTACCAGAAGAACCTTAGGTTAGACTAGGAATATGTAGCTTCCACACCTTGGCTATGTTCTTCATGTACTTGCTTCTATCTATACTGTTGTTGCTTACTTGTATATAGTTTTTCAATTTTATCAATATTTGTCTCTCTTTTTCTATTTTTTATTGCTATTCCTTACTCATATCTAGCTTTTCAATTTTAAGCGTTTCTATAATTTCTACCTTTCATGCATTTTTCATTAGTCAGGGGTCTTGATGTAAACAACGCTCTATTCTACTATACAAGGTAGAGGTCAAGTCTTCATACATCATAGCCTCTCAAGACCCCACCTCTGGGTGGGATATATATGGCTCGATTAGTATGGTTTGCTTTTTAGCTTGTTCAGGAGTGGGGGAACTTGCATAAATTACGTTTGTCCAAGTATTTCACAAGTGACATATACCATGGACTAGTATTTAGGTTTTGCACCACAAAAGGGAATCATTTGGTTTTTCTTGCTCTTCTTGGAGACCATGTTCTCTTGACAACCTGATCAATTTGTAACTCAGAAGAATATGATCTTGCCTCACCTTCCTCCAAAAACGTCCCTACTTGCAGTCTCCCTTATATCGTGGGATACCTAGAAAGATGTCCATACTTGCATTTTCAGCTTACCCACCAAATTTATAAAAAACGTCATTTGACCTCTCTTGCAAATAGCAGTTTCAAATACATCACCTATAATTGAATCTCCGTATGGACAACAACATGAACATAATCTTAAATGACGGCTCAACCTTGAGATTAGGATTAACATGTGACAACTTTGTTATCAAATTTAGCATTAGCAAGTGACAACTACATCTCTAAATGACACCTCAAGCTTGAGATTGGGATTAAATCCCAATCTCGTTATGAGATTAATGGTAATCCTACTCCTATTAAACCAACAAAACTTCAATGAAAAACGATAAACCATCCATGAAAAATCAAGCAACTTGTGACATTTTTTAGAGAGAGAAACAAATTAACGTTCACGTAAATTCGTTGACAAGAAAACAAGGCCTTAGGATTTCAAGAGAACCAAAAACATAACAGAAACAATGATTAAATCCTAAGATTGATCCATGTGAAAATAAAGTAAGATAGAAGCTATACCACACATGAAAAAACACGGGGAATTCGGTATCTAGTCTACCGCAATGCAAAAAACATATCCACATCTTTATTGATATCCACAAAATTGATTTTTCTTGTCATCATTGGTTGTTCAAAAGTTGCAAAAAACAAGGTTGCATATTCTTGCTAGAAGATATTGGAGAAAGAAATTAAATTTAGAGAGGAAAGACTTTATCAATGTATAGAACAAGAAAAGCAATGTTTCATAAGTCGGTGTCTTCATGGAAACAACCTCTATCCCTATGCGTAGAGGTTGGTTTGCATACATCATACCCTACTACGTCATGGTGGGATGTACTTGCTAAGGGATCATGTTGTTATAGATGATAAATTGCCCCAACGTTATTTGACTTTGTTACATGTGCATGAATCAACAGAGAAATTGATCTTAAAATATTGAAAAACATAAAACTCTTAAAATTTTGATCATTATCATTATGCTTTACTATTTTTATCATAATATAGGAATTAGAAGATAATTATTCTTTCTTACTTTTACTGCTTCAAGTAATCTTTTGGCACTCCAATTATAGATAGATATGCTTCATTCTCATCATTGAAGAGGAAGGCCCACAAACTGCAACGAGAGTACATTCTTTGTTTCTTTGCAACTCTTCCATTTTGAATTTTATTTGCATGAATCCATACTACCCACGAATGGCCACATATTCCTTATATGTTTTACCTCCAAGCAACCTTTTTATATATTCATCAAGCATTTGTCCTTACTTCTTCTCATTTGCTAAATGCTCATTCACTTCATCAAATTCTTTGTTAAAATCCTGTAGTTTGGATTCATGATTAGAGTTGACAGCCATGTTGATGAAATCATTTGGTTGTTGGTCGAGTTGATTTGGGTTGAGAAATTTGTTTACAACAGATTGAACGTTGGGACTACCAAAAGAGAGACGCTTTCCAGTAATGGAGAAAAGAATGATTGCAATCTGTATATGACACAGTGTGGCTAGTTCATTGGCTTTTTTGAATATGCCATTGCACCATTTAGACAAGGTAACCGCTCTTTCCTTTTCATTTTCAATTCTTTCCAGTTGTATCTTCTTTCGATCCTTGCTTGGTAATCTTGCCATACTTTCAAAATTTTAGACTTTCATATCCATATCAAATACGCACTTAGATCAAGTCTTTGTGTTCTAAATGAATCTCCCCCCCCCCCTCTCTCTCTCTCTCTCTATATATATATATATATTATATATAAGATCATGTTCAAACGAGAAGGTGGTCAATTTGCAAAAAGGCAAGACGTTTCAATATCATACATGATACATATGCTTATCATATATGATTAAGCACATTCAAAAGAGTGTAATTATATATGATATTGAAACTTCTTGCATTATTGCTTTATATATATATATATATATATATATATATAAGATATACAATATATATTATAAAAGTATTATATGTTATAAAGNATGTTTATAATTATACTATATAAATTATGTACGATTAATAAAAAATATGAAAAATTATGCATGAATGCTTACAATATAGTATAAAAAAGATACATGAATATATAGTTGATTTATAATTATTATAATCATAAAAGAAAAGAATCCTACGTAACAAACTCACACACATTGAATAATAAATGATATTTATGAGCCCTAATTACTATTGAAGAGTACTATACATTTATAGTAATAATTGTTAATTTTTTACCATCTCCATAGTATATGTGAAGCATTTGTAGTTACAATTTCATAAGGAGTAAATACTCTATTATACACTTTGAAGGTAATGTGAAAAAAAACCAAAAGAGTAGTGCCTGATTGGTTTGAGCTTGGCTCCAAAGGTCAAAAGTACCAAGAGGTCCCGGTTTCAAATTCAAGGATGAATAAAAATCCCCTTGTGGCCACGGAGGTTCAAATGCGGTGACTCCTGGCTATCTGCAAAGCAGGAGGTCGTCCTGGGATTAGTCGGCTCGCATAGCGGATTGGATATCCAGGTTAATAAAAAAAATGTGAAAAGGCTAAATTTTTCATAGAAGTGAATAATAGAACATGCATGCTAAGTTTATTCCACGTTTGTTTTTCTTATGACCAACCTCATATTAAAGATGACTCTATCCTTTTACAACTAATGCATGTATGTATTAATTGTGAATATCTAAAAATTAATATTGGAAAAAACTTAAATACTAATCCATTATATATATATACTAAATATCTACTTTAGTTGGAAAAAGGGTCAACTACCAATCGAAATCGATTCTGGAGCCTTGGATGCGGTATTCTATAAATACCATTCATATATCAAACCCTTCGCAACCATTCTCATAGTTTCTCACAATCTCTAAATTTTGACAGTATGGCAAGATTACCAAGTAAGGGTCGTAAGAAGATACAACTGAAAAGAATTGAAAATGACAAGGAAAGAACGGTTACCTTGTCTAAACGGCGCAATGGCATATTCAAAAAAGCCAATGCGCTAGCCACACTGTGTCGTATACAGATTGCAATCATTCTTTTCTCCATTAGTGAAAAGCCTCTCTCTTTTGGTAGCCCCAACGTTCAATCTGTTGTAAACAAATTTCTCAACCCAAATCAAGTCGACCAACAACCAAATGATTTCATCGACATGGCTGTCAACTCTAATCATGAACCCAAACTCCAAGATTTTAACAAAGAATTTGATGAAGTGAATGAACGTTTGGCAAATGAGAAGAAACAAGAACAAATGTTTGATGAATATATAAAAAGGTTACTTGGAGGTAAAACGTATGAGGATTATGTGGTCATTCGTGGATATTATGGATTCATGCAAATAAAATTCAAAATGGAAGAGTTGCAAGGAAACAAAGAATATACTCTCGATGCAGTGTGTAGGCCTTCCTCCTCAAATGACGAGAATGAAGCAGATCTATCCAAAATTGGGGTGCCAAAAAGATTACTTGAAGTTGTAATAGTAAGAAAGAAGAATTATCTTTTAATTCCTATGTTATGATAAAAATATTAAAGCATAATGATAATGAATCAAAATTTTATGAGTTAAGAGTTCTATGCTTTTTGTTTTTCAATATTTTAAGGTCAATTTCTCTTTTTATTCATGCATGTGTAACAAAGTCAAATAACGTTGGGTCAATTTATCATCTATAGCAGCAGAATCCCTTAGTAAGTATATCCCACTAGGAGGCAGGGTCTAAAGAGGGTATGATGTAAGCAAACCATACTCTACCCGTATGGGTAGAGGTTGTTTCCATGATGACCCCCGAATTATGAAACCCTGCTCTTCTTGTTCTATACATTGATAAAGTCCTCYCTCTCAACTTATTTTCTTTCTCCAATATCTTCAACCAAGGAATATGAACTATTGTTTTGGGCAACTCTTGAAGAACCATGATTAATTGGTATCTGTCTCATAGCGGTAACTTCTTTCCGAATGAATTTTCAATTTGTTAACCTGCACAATGAGAACAAGGAAAATCAATTTTGTGAATGCCAATAAAGTTGTGGATACGTTTTTCGCATTGTGGTAGACTAGACCAATAAATTCCCCGTGTTTTTCATGTGTGGTATAACTTCTATTTTACTTTTATTTTCACATGGATCAATCTTAGGATTTAAATAGAATTTTTTCAGATTTTTTCACTGATTCACATATGAACCTTCCTCTAACCTCCCTTCTTACTTTGTCACGATATTTATCCTTCTTATCTGAACCTACCCCTATATATAATGTTTACAATTATAATAAGAAAATTATGTATGACATATAATTATAGTAAGTGGGCCTTCCTCTACAAAGGGATGAGTATGAAGCGGATCTATCGAATTGGAGGGCCAAAAGATTATGATAAGTTGTACAATAGTGACAAGGAAAATCTATTTTGTGGATGCCAGTAAAGATATGGATATGTTTTCGGCATTATGGTAGACTGGACAAACGGATTCCCGTGTTTTTCGTGTGTGGTATAGCTTCTATCTTACTTTTATTTAATCATTGTTTCCGTTATGTAATTTGTTTTCATGAAATCCTAAGACCTAGTTTCCCTAGTCAACCAAATTACCCAAGCGTTAACTTTTTCCATCACATACCACCCTTCTATCTCTACTATCTCTATCAAGACCTAGTTTCCCTAGTCAACCAAATTACCCAAGGGTTCTATGTGGTCAGATTGAAATTTGGTTTTTGTGAGATTTTGAGGGTTCTAAAATGGTTGGATGATGCATAACATAATAAGCAATCATACAGAAATTAAAGGAAATAAAAAATCTCTCATCAAACTGAAAATTTGGTGTTTCCTTTGTTGTTTATAGAATTTTTATGAGATTTATATGTTTCCTTCTTTGTTTATTGCTTCCTTCTTTGTTGTTCTTTATTGTAAGACGGGCTCTAATCAAGTTTGCAAATTAATGCTAGCCAATCATTTAGTTGTTGTAGGATGAACTATTCTTTCACAATTTCGTCGACTGTTGTCAAATTGAATAAACTACGGATTTGGTCCCATCAAATGCATTTGTCTGCTTCTTGTTAGAGATGGCTCTCTCTCCTTTAAAAACAACACATCTATGTATTAATATTTGTACAAAATTTCTAAAAAAGTTGGAAAAGGATAAACCACTGTGTGGGAGTTGACTCTTCTATAAATACCTTTCATATATCAAACCCTTCACAATCATCTCGTATTTTTCACAATTTCAAGAACAAATGCTTGATGAAAGTATAAAGAGGTCGTTTGGACGGAAAAACATAAGAGGAATATGTGTGCAGCCTTGGGTATGATGAGTTCATGCACTAAAATTCAAATTATAAGAGCTAAAAAGAAACGTGGAACGTATTCTCAATGCACAACAAGTGGACCTTCCTCCTCAAAGTGATGAGTATGAAGCGGATCTATCGAATTGGAGGGCCAAAAGATTATGATAAGTTGTACAATATTGACACGGAAAATTATTTCATGGATGCCAGTAAAGATATGGATATGCTTTCGGCATTATGGTAGACTGGACTACCGGATTCCCGTGTTTTTCGTGTGTGGTATAACTTCGATCTTACTTTTATTTAATCATTGTTTCCGTTATGTAATTTGTTTTCATGAAATCCTAAGACCTAGTTTCCCTAGTCAACCAAATTACACAATCGTTAATTCCATCACATACCACCCATCTATCTCTACTATCTCTCTCAAAAAAACATAAATTAATATTCTTTTCCCTAATTGGAGAAAACCCTAAAAATGGTTAAGGAAATCATGGCAAATACTCTAAATGGTTCTGATTCTTTCAGACATTGAATCAAACACATGGTGTGCAAATGGGAAAAACGAGATGAAGGAGCTAAGAACCAAATGTAAATAAAGACTCTTACAACAGCAGGCGAAGAAGGGTTTTAGATTAAAAACAATCGAAAGCAAGAAGAATGTAGATGACATACCATGTCTTTAAACTCGCCAACTGCAGCCCTTGTTCACGGACTCCATTTTTCCAAGCCGATGGTAAAGATCTTTAGTTCGAAGCTCAGAATGGTGGCAACAAAGGACCGGTCCTACTCCAAAACCCTAAATTTCTTGGCAACCAATAAAATAAAGACACTCCGGGCTGCAGTTAGCTGGATTAAAAAATTTCAAACAGGCCCAAATTATACTGATTGGGTTGAGTTTATCGGGTTAAAACTTTGATACATTATTTTACAATCTAATTTAAAAAATTTATTTAAGTGAAGTAAATTATTTAAAAATCTAATTTAAAGATTATATTTAAGTGAAGTAAATACATATAAGGCTAACAATTACGTGAGTGATATTAAAAGATATTTTTAATAAGACTTTCTATTAAAGCTAACAATTACATATTACTAGCAACCCTAACGAACCTCACTTGACAATCATATTAAATCCATGGTATAGAGACGCATCAGGTTCAAATGGTCTTAATTGGGTATCGAATAGCTTCAGGTTGTGTTTTTACAATCTACTTTATTTTGGTTTTTCTATGTATTTTTAAAATCTTTATTTTTAGTATCTCAAATTTGATAGATTAAACATTTAGATGTTTAATTTATATATGAAAATGAATAAAGATATAAAGTATTTTCTTCGATAATTATGTGTAAGATACTTTAGTTTTGATGTTTAAGACATAGAGGATTTGATATAACATGCCTTAAAAAATAATAATAAAGTAGTTGTATTTTAAAAAAGTTGTGTAATCATATTCATATTTTAAAATATAAAATATAAAAAATAATAACTAGTTAATATAAGAAAAAACTAAGCAAAATTATATATATATATATATATATATATATACATATACATATATATATATATATATATATAAATATCTATACTATCTTATAAAGCATTTGCTAAAACTCTTAAAACTCTTAAAAACTCTTAAAACTCTTAAATCCGTTCATCCCTAAACGATTTCATCCCTATCCGATTTCATCCCATATCTGAATTCGTGTAACTAACTGCAGATAAACACAATCAAATATATGATAAACATCTCATTTTAAGTATAAAAAATCTAAAATATAATTAGTATAATCATTAATTTCTAACAGAATACTTAATTATTATCTTTATAAAATTTATAATATTAAACCAAAAATAAATTGTTTTATTATTAAACTTAAATTAAATTATATA